GGGCTGAGAGGCAGGCTGTGTTCTGAGCAGCAGGACTAGTTTCAGGACAGTGCATGGCTTTCCGCTAAAAGGAGTGGTCTGAAGCAATCTGCCATAGAAATCCCACAGGAAAACCAGAGGAAAGGCGAGGAAGGACAGTAAGGTAGCCCAGAAATATTTCTGCAGTCACGAAGGAGACATGGGCACTAAATTCTCAGCAAATGGTAGTAACAGCAATATTGACAGTTCTTAAAACTCCCAGTTCTTTAGTTAAGAGAAATCTCATTGACTGTGACTTTTGCAGGCCTGTTTGTTTATAATCTAGAAAACAATGACTAGATCTGTACAGTGGCGGAGATGTTTTTCATTTGAAGCTTGAGTCACTTGTGTACATGCTATCACAGCTAAAGTGAGTGTTTTTCTTTCTCTTTTTGTACTCCCAAAGGGAAAGTCCCAAGAAACACACCTCATGTACCTTTTCTTTAAGCATGAGAAAAACAATTCTAAAGTATTACATGCTAAAAATGAAATAACTTACAAAGAAATATTTTGAAAAGGACATACTTCTCCTCCCTCAATAACTCACATTATCTCCCAAGATTTTTTGCTTTATGTCCTTCTAGGCTTTCCTATGCATTTAAAAACACATACACATTTTGTTTGTTCAATGTAATTGCAATGATACCATAGATAATAATGTTTTGCTATTTCCCCCTCCACCTAATTAATAATTCTTCTATTTAGAGACATTTAGGTTTGTATCTAGCTTCTTCTTCCATAAGTAACATAAAAATGCATGTGCTTAAAGGGGTTTTCTGCACACTTGTATGATTTCTATAGGATAGATGCCTGAAAGTGAAATTCCCAAGTCAAAAAACATAAATGTCTTATGTTTAAACCCCATTTCTTGGTATTGAGAGAAAAGCACAGATTCCTCGTAATTCTGAGGTGAAAAGGTAAGAGATAATTTTCCTAAGAAAGGTACGATCAGGTTTAACCTTTTTAAAAAAAAAAAAAGATTTTTTTTAAATTATTGATTTTTAGAGAAAGGGAGAGAAACATTGGTGTGAGAGCAAAACTTTGATTGGATGCCTCCTGCATGCCCCCTACTGTGGGGGGGGGGGGTCAAACCCTTAACCCATGTATGTGCCCTGACTGGGACTTGAACTAGCAACCTTTTGGTGCACAGGACACCACCAACTGAGCCACACCGGCCAGGGCATTACCTCTTTTACTTTAGGTGGCCTCCTAACTCCAAAAGCAGAGCAAGACCTTGGTTTTACTTAGAGATGGTAGTGGAACTAGTTGTAACTACGTTAAAGTTCTGGTAGGACATGGTGTCCCAGAAGCCAAATGAGGAGAGGACACAGCTGGATTTTAAAGGTCACCTGTGTCAGAGGCCATTCAGAGGTTGAGCACAAACAATAAACCCTGGTTCTGGAAACATGGAGGTCATATGAGTGAAGAATAAGAAAGGAAGAAAACCTGTTTGAAATGGATTAAAGAAAACATGGGACACAGCAACAGAGGCAAATCTCTAATAGGGTTTTGCTAGAAAAGGAAGCAGAAAAATGACTGGAACATAAGATCAAGGATATTTTTGTTTGTTTTTTTAAGATGTTTGCATGGTGAAGGAAATGATTCAGTAAAAGAAAATATTGATGATGAGGGCAGAAAGTGGGTAACTGTAGAAGCAAACTAGTTGAGAGATGTGGTATGGTGCCCTCGTGGAGAAGTTGGCTGTAGGTAGAAACAGGACATCTGATCCCTGTAAGAGAAGTGAATCCTGAAAATCTGGGTAAAGATGAAGGTAGATTTGGAGTTGGGAAGATGATGTAGTTTTTGTGTGATTGATCGTTTTCTTAGAAAAATGAGGATTCAATTGTTGAAGAAGAAAGGAGGTTAGGGCTGTTGGAGCATAGAGAGGTATAAAATTGTCATCTTGGAGAGCAGGAATGGAAATTCACTCGGGGGAACTTTGGTCATAAATGTAACAAGCAACCAGGCAAGTATGATGTTTTCTCATGCCCATTCTGCTGCTTGGGTGTGGCTTTATCCAGGATTAAGATTGTCAGGAGATAATATAGGTTCTGTGGGTGATAGGTGCAGGAGAATTGTCTGTCCCCATAAAGAAATTATTATAACGATGAAGTACTCTAAGGTGTGGTGAAAGGAAGTACATGGCATTAAGAGGTACAAGAGCCAGAAACCGTGATGGATCAGTGAGTTGGGTGACTCCTAGGTTTTAACCCAACCATTAACTTCCTTTTCCAGCACACGATGGTCACCATAGTGCCCGGGGCAAAGAAAAACTTACACAAACGTCTGTCAGGCTTTCTTTGCCTTCTGCTGTTTACTTGATTTTACTGTTTCTTTGATTGTTTTCTTTTCCTCAAAATCATAGTTAATCACATATAATGTCCGTGGGATCTGTGAAAAACATTTAACCAAAAGGAAATCTTGAATTGTTGATAAAACGTTGATATATTTTGTTTATTCCTTTGAAGGCCATCAATTTCGAATGCCAAGATCCTCCTGTCAAACAGCTGTTACAGCACTTTTCTTAGTAGTTGCACATGTGCAGGGGATGTAGAATCTGTTTGTAAATTATTGAGGATCCGGTTGAGACTGTGAGGACACTGTATATATCTGGAATCCTTGTTTTCTAGTCAGGTACTTACTAGTATAGTTTATCACTGCAGTTACTTGGTTAAAGTTAGTTAGCCTTTTCCTAGAACTAGTTGAATTATAAGATTCATAAGATTAGGCCTCCCAAATATGCCTTGGGAACAAATATCTCATTTGGATTTTTAAAGAAAAATTTTCCTTCTTTCCACAGAAACCCAAACACCCTACGACAGGAATTATTGCCATCACCTTGGCCTTTCACATATGTCACGAAGTCCACCTTGCTGGCTTTAGATACAACTTTTCTGACCTCCAGAGTCCTTTGCACTACTATGGGAATGCCACCATGTCCTTGATGAACAAGGTAATAGATTATTTGTTAAAGTCATTGATTTTTTAGAGTTGGAAAGCCTATTTTCTCTCTTCTCACTCTATCATTTTACATAGCGAAGAGCTTTTGAGAGATTGAGGGCTTAATAGGGGTTACAGAGCTACCAAAATCAAGTGCAGCGTTCTCTACTACAGCGATTCCCAATCTGTGGGCCTCAGACCCTTGGGAGAATCTGTTATTGTAAAGTACTGACAACCCATACAGGGACCAAGACTTATCTTAGATACTGTATCCTATTTGCACGATTTAAATATACACATAGCCTACTGTTGGAGATATTACACATTCACCTAAAAGCATTGCCATGTCCATAGTAATAATTTTCATGTATTTTTTTTCCAGTTAAGTAGACAAGGTCTATAACATTTTAACCCCATGAAAGAATCTTTATGGTCAGAAAGGTTGTCATCTTTGACACTAGCTCATGCTTCTCTTGAATTAGGGATCAGTGACAGTAGGTTGGATCCTTCATATTTTTATTTTTATTGACTGGGAGGAGTTTTCTATTTCCCAAATTCTAATTTAGATTAGTGGCACAGCACAAGTGACAGGATTAAAATGTTATCTGTACATTTTTAATACTGAAATATGATTTGCTATAATGTATATGGCTATATCCCATGAAATCCCAGGCCCCTGAAATTATCATCTCCGTGTTATGTCAGGGTAGATCTTGATACTGACTTGTTGTGTCTTCCCCACAACGTGTGACAGAGACTTTAGTTGCCGAGTTAGTTGCTGGGGACAGACTTCAGGCTCACTTCTTCTCAGCCCTAATTTCTCCTGCAGCACACTTGGCATTTTTAGTCCTCTAAAGAACCACACATTAAAACACCTTCCTAAAATTAGGATGCCTGTCATTAGAATAGAACAATTTTCTAAAACCTGCGTTCCTGGTGATGCATTTATTACAATGATCAACCCGTTTGGATTTACAATTTTGGTTTCTAGACTTCCACCACGACTCAGCAGACCAGGAGATGATGTGAGGGAGCCCCTTACCTATGTGCTGGGTTGAGTGGAAAGAGTGGGTTTTAGGGAAAGCTCTGGCATAACAGTGAGCAAAGACAAATAAATTAGAAAGGTTAACCCAAGTCCATGACACTTGTTATACTTGAAGTTTTCATTCAGAAGCTTTTCAGATACAGCACATTCTATTGCTGTTGTTGAGATCGGGATAAACAGTGATTTTAGTTTATTTTTATCTTTTAGAATGCATATCACAACGTGACTGCAGAGCAGCTCTTTTTGAAGGACATTATAGAAAAGAACTTTGTAATCAATTTGACTCAAGATTGATCCTACAGACAGAGAAGATAATGCTGACAGTATTAGTTTTATTTTTATACTGGCAATTTATAGTTTATTTTAAAAAACGTTGGATGTACTTGTCAAGAAATTATGTATATTAAGCCTGTCGCTGCCTGGTGATTTCATAACCACCAGCTTAATTTCTGTAAATATAATTTATGAAAACCAACATATACTGTTACTATGTCCGGGTAAAGTTGTAATTGCATTGTGTTTTTAAAAATATTTTTAGTTTTTTCATTTTAGACTTTTGAAAGGATGTGACTTCCTAATAAGGGGACTTAAGTTGACGGCAACAGATTTGAATGCAAAATGACATATTTGGCTACTATAAAATGGTGGGGAATTGGCATGTGGTTGTGTTTTGATGTGGCAAACTGGAAGCACGCCAGGTCTATATCTGGCTGACTTTAGTGTCTTTTTGTTCTAATTAAGGAACATGAAGTTTAAACCAGCTCTGAATACAGCAGTGTGGATGGTTATAGAAATCGAAGGTCATACTGGTATATTTAGGCTCCCCCCTTGCAATTAAGTAAACCACGATTATGAGTAATTAGGTAGAATGAAGATGGTATTTTTTTGTTTTTAAGTTTGTCTAGACGAGTAAATAACCAAAGAGTGTAATTACTAAAGTCTGGTGACTGCATTATGTTGAAGAAAATTTTTTAAAAAGTTTATACAAAGAAAGCTGAGTAAGACATGCTCAAGGAGAAAATTCTTAAACTTTGTTTTGCCTGGTTTAATTCATTAACTTTTAAAACTTTATTATTTGAAGTAAATTAGGAAAGATGAAAAAGACACAAGTAAATCCGTAGGAAGAGCCAAGGTGTTCTTGGATTTAGATGGTATTTTCATCTCTCATCTTCACATGGAAAGCTCACCTGACTAGGGTACTCCAGTGAAGAATCCTATGGATGCAAAGAAGCCAGTCCTACAACTGTGGTGACCTGGTCTCCCTTTCCAGTTTAATGAATATAACTAACGGCTATGGTGGGGTAGGGTAAGTGGTGAAGGAGAAAGGAAGAGAACAGAAGGTATAAGAATGATGGAATAAAAAGCTATCAGAAGAGGTATGAGTTGAAGAATTAGTACCGTTTTTAAAAAATATATATTTTTATTGATTTCAGAGAGGAAGGGAGAGGGACATAGAAACATCAATGATGAGAGAGAATCATTGATTGGCCGCCTCCTATTGGGACCTCAGCCTGCAACCTGGGCATGTGCCCTGACAGGGAATCGAACCTTCGACCTCCTGGTTCATAGGTTGATGCTCAACCACTGAGCTATGACCGGGCGAGAATTAGTATCTTTTGAATAATTATCACTGGGGACATTGATGTCATTGACAATCAACCTGCCTCTCTAAAGAAAGTGTAGAAAGGGTGGAATAGTAGACCAGAAACAGGAATAAATAAGGTACTTAGAAAGCAGGGTAGGGGAGAAAACTAGTAGTAGATTTAATCCAGATCTAGACATTAAATATGGATGATGTCCTGTTAATAGCATACGTTTGCACTGGACCAATTTCATCTGATTCTTCTAATAACGTTGAGGTGGAAAAGGCAGGAGCCATGCTGAAGTCCCCATGTTCAGTGACCTTTTCCTCCCACTGCACAGCCGGAGGCTGCAGCGGGGCTGCTGGAGTAACTCCGGCTTCAAAAAGGATACTGTGGCTACAGAAAAAATCAAAGTCAAAACCAATGGTGGCATTCCCTAATGTTACTGTGAATAGTATAACATTGGCCATTAAATTTTCTGATGTTCAAATTCAGGAATCTGGCATTTTGTGTAGTATAAGAGAAGGCTATAAACCTGAAGGTGGTTTTAGTTAAGCCAAAAAAAAAAAAATCTGAGCAAGACACATATATACAATTTATTAAAAACACATGAACACATTAAAATCTCACTATTTATACAATCTAAATTCTAGCAACATATACAAATACTGAGTGACTACAGTACATGCCGAGGTAAGAAAAGTACATTCTGGGAGAATTTCACTGACACTTAAGCCATTTTTGTTTCCAATATGTATTTCAATACATGTTTTGTTTCCACCCTTCCCAGTGTCAAAAAAAAAAAAGGAGAGAGAGAGATGAAGAGACTAGCCACAAGTTGGTGTGACTAAATGACCTAAAAAGTACTTTAATAACCATCCAACTCTTCAGATTTTGCAGTTTAGGGACTTCAAGTTCAGAACTGAAAGGCAAAGCAAATAGATAATTTGTTCTTCATTAATTTCTCTTAAAAAGGTCTGGAGAGCATAATCTGTTAGTTCTTTTTAATCATATCACCTGACATGGTGCTTTTATAGCCATCCTGCTCTCCAGGTGACAATGTGGAGTCAAGGCAAGTACCTGAAAGCTTTACCACTTTCCATACAATTAGAGCTGCATTCATATTTAGATGAGCTCACTTTCTGCTCCCTGCTGTGGGAGGAAGGGCAAGTACATACACAACGTCATAATTTCAATTACTGTATAAATCCTCTACTCGAACCATTTCGTCAGCAAACTAAACCCATTGTTCAATGCAAAGTGCAAATAGTGAAACATGAACTTAAATAACTGGACCAGACCCTGCATACAATAGGATCTATTTAGATTTACAGCTTTTAATAAAATATAAGTCAGCATTCACAATATCTTACCTCTAACTGTGCTGGTTCCTAAGATCAAGTAACAGCGAAGTCAGTGTAATTTTACAAAACATGTAATGGCCACACTTGCTGCACCACTGTCTGATTCTATTTTTATAATTGTATTAATAGGAAAAAAATTTAAACCAATAAACCACAGTGACTTAAGTCTTTTACATATTTCAAGCAAAGAATAAAAATTCGAGGACATTTTTGTAAAAAATGGTTACTTTTCACATTTTCAGTTGTTACTTGATTGTCTCCAAAGCTGTATATATATATATCAGACATATAAATGTAGTAAAAAAAACAAACAAAACCCAAACCCCAAAACTCTACTATGAAAACAAACTAAAAGTACAAAACCAGAACAACCCTTTATATCAGGCTCAGCTCTTCATTTTGAAAGTAAAATATATAAAAGTAGTAAAAACTAGATATTTGTAAGAATCATTGGCAATTCAAGGACAGCACAGTGGCATTTTGAATCAAGTCTTAAAACATGCATCATTTAAGAAAACATTTGCTTCTCAAAAAAAAAAAAAAAAAGGTTCCATGGGAAAAGGAGGTGCACACAGTTACACAAAAATAGCAAGCATCTTTGGGAAAACAAAATAGTTATTGAAAACATTTCTCTTAAAGCTTCAAAAAGGTATATGATTCTAGGAAAGGTATATTCTCTCTGTACTAAGGATGAATAAAAAAATAAAGCGATTGGTTTACTCTCTTCCCACCTGAAAGGGGAGGGCTGCATTAATACATGTGGAGGTGCACACAGTTACACAAAAATAGCAAGCATCTTTGGGAAAACAAAATAGTTATTGAAAACATTTCTCTTAAAGCTTCAAAAAGGTATATGATTCTAGGAAAGGTATATTCTCTCTGTACTAAGGATGAATAAAAAAATAAAGCGATTGGTTTACTCTCTTCCCACCTGAAAGGGGAGGGCTGCATTAATACATGTGCTTTACACATTCATATGTTCTAATAAAAGTTCAACACCTGTGCTTTTTGTTTCAAATATTTTGAAACAAAATATGGATTGGGTTTTCAATGAATAAAATTATGCTTCATAGTATGTATGGAAAAGGAAAAGCAAATGAAAATAAAACCAAGATCATACAAGGAGAGGGCGGGAGGCTGTAGAAATAAACAGTTCTATTTGGAAGCAATGTTTTAGATTACTGATATACTTGTGGAAGCAACAAAATGAAGACTGTTCACCTTCAAATTTAGCAAGTTCTGGCAACATCATAATCTGGTGGCCCAGGCCAACAGAAATGAGTAGGACCTGATGGAATGGAAAAGTACATTTCCATTAAGACTACAAATTAAAGTATATAGAAGGGATTTCAAATTTTAATCACATGGGCAGCTTATGTCGTGTTGCCAGTCTAAAGACTTTTAATCATGGTTTTTACATTCTAGACTGATAAACTACAGATGATTTCTATTTCACCCATCTAAACTTAGCTCTGTTCTGGGTAAATGGTAACAAGGTGCCCAGGGGAATAAAAAAAGACACATGAATAGCCACGTGTGAGGATGCTGTAACACCTCTTCCCTACGTGTGAGATAAAGAACTACTCACCTTCTCACACGGATGAGGCACAAACACACTGAGTTTATAGTTTGCTTTGGAAAACTAAAACACTAAAAAAACCCCAAAACATACCTTGAGATTAAAAAAAAAAAATCTACATATTTTAAAAGGGGGCAAATTCTGGTTATCTTTTTTAAAGGTAATTTACAGGACTTCTGAAGAATGATTTTGCCTTTGCTGTGATAAATAGAAATGGGGCATGTTTACAGCGTCTACTTGGAAGCCCTCAACTTTTCACAACCCTCCTAGAAAAAATCCCATTGCAAATAAAGTTGGAGGGGAGGAGTATCTCTTTCATCGCTTTTTTAGAGAGGATCTCTTTTATAGCTTTTTTAAATTGCAAAGTTCCTGTTTCCACAGTGAGAAGTAAACTTAAACACATTAGAGGATCTGAATTCATGAAGTTTGATAGAGCAAGTATAACCCACTGAAAAAACAAAACATTTTACAAACACAAGAACGGGCTGGCCATCAAGGCCCCAGGCGGAATAAGCAGAGACCAGGCCAAGTCATGTACCGCGGGTGTCAAAGCACCTGAGTGTCAAAAAGTGACAGTCACCCTGCTCATTAAATCGGAGTTTCTCACCTGTACTCTTCTTAAGGAAAAATGGATACGTGTGTATGACTGCAATCAAAACAATGATTATGTATCACTAATTATTATTTTTTTAAATCCAGAAAGGAATACAGGAATAGAAGAGGAGGAAATCATGATAGTACCCACCTTCACACAAAGCAGAATTTCAAGCCATTAGACATTTCAAGAACAGTACCATGCATTATTACCAGTCAGGCTTACAAAGCCTTATTGAGTTCATCAAATGTACCTGCAGCACTGGTAATAAATACTTACTTTCAGTGATTTTTAATTTCTTTGAAGTGCATAGTAGGGAGCTTTTTCTGTATTAAAAAATAGTGTTTTACAGTAGTAACAAACAGGATGTTCGAAATTTAACAGGCAAGCAGTAACTGCTACAACAACACTTCTAAAGCAAGATGGCAAGATTAGTAGTTTCCTGTACCTCGGTCATCACACGTCCCCCACTACATCCGTGACAGATATGTAATACATTCTATATATTACTACCACTAATAGGGAAAAAAAAAGGCCATGTGCTTTAAAACGATGCTTTGTAAAAAGCAGCATCACCTTCAAAGGATTTCTTTAAAAACATCACTGTCACCATCCCTCCCTGTTCCTGACACCTCCTGTGTGCTCTGTGGCACCTGGTACACCAATTCCTCTGGGGCATTTGGACCTGGCTTCCCACCTTTTGGGGTGTCATACTGGGCCCGGGCTGAGGAGCAGCTGTCAGTCCTGGCGAGAAGAGTGTTGTATGTTCCCACTAGAGGAGGAGGCTGGTTCCCTGTAGCTTTGAAAGTGGACGTTGAGGGTAGACCAACTGAAGCTGGGGTGTGCCCCGAGATATCCATGACAATGGGGGTTGCATACTCAGGCCCCGTAATTGGGAGTGGTTCGGCATAGGCGTGGTACACTTCTTGCATCGGGGAGTTGTAAGGATCTAGGTCAGCATAGCCTGTTTCTTTTCCTTCTTCTGGTTTGAAGGTCGACCTCTGATGAAGTGTGCCAACAATTCCTCCCACAAGCGGCTGGGCATACTCTGTGAGTATCACAAAGGACAACAGAAACGTTACCTCATTGATATGGGCCTCATATAATTTAGGGTGCAAGCTACAGACTTACACCAAAGCAAAAACTTCTCCATGGAACTTTTGTTGCTATCAACACAGACCCTGTAAGGACCAACTTCAAAAATTAAAATTAAAGATGTTATCTTGTGTATCATGGTAATAAGTTAATATGCCAGAACACCTCACTGTTCATGTTATTTTGCATCAAGAGTGTTTGTATATGTTCTTAAGATACATACAGTCTTTCACTCGAAAAGAAATTTTCCATTGTTGGAATAGTATTAGAATATAATTTCAGTTGTTTTTTCCCCCAAATATGAGGAAATGTTTACAATAAGTACAGGCCAGGTTAATGTGATAAATGCTGTCTCACTATATCTTTTTTTTTTTTTTTACAAATAATTCTGTTATTTATTTTGAATAAAAAGTTGGCCGCGATAACAATACTAGTGGCTCTGCGTACAAAACACAACACATTTGAGATTATTTCATCACATTTTTACAAAACTGCCGTTATGTACCGCACTTGATATTCACAGCAACTTTATTAGACTCTAAGGCAGGGGTGGGCAAACTTTTTGACTCGAGGGCCACAATGGGTTCTTAAACTGGACCGGAGGGCTGGAACAAAAGCATGGATGGAGTGTTTGTGTGAACTAATATAAATTCAAAGTAAACATCATTACATAAAAGGGTACGGTCTTTTTTTTTTTAGTTTTATTCATTTCAAACGGGCCAAATCCGGCCCTTGGGCCGTAGTTTGCCTACGGCTGCTCTAAGGACTAGAATCAGATGAGCAACAGGAGAAACAAAAATGGAGAAAAGCTAAAAACCAGTGGTGTTTCCTTAGCTAGAGAGCTGGCCGGCAGCTGACTGGTAAGGACAGAGGGTCTGTTACACCTTCTTTAGTAATAACAGGGCTACACATTGACAAACACCCTCCAAGATTTCTATTACATTTTCTCTATAACCTGCCCCACTTCAAACTTCCCCAGAAACCTCCTCCCTAATCCTATCTAATAAAAGAGAAACATGGTAATTAGCGTACGACCGCTACCCTTCCCACTGGCTAATCAGGGTGATATGCAAATTAACTGCCAACAAAGATGGCGGTTAATTTGCATATGTAGGCGCAATGCTGGGAGGTGAAAGGGGAAGAAGCCGCCTGCCACAGGTGATTGGAAACCCAAGTGGCAGCTAAGAGCCGGGTGGCAAGGCAAAAGTGGCCCTGGGCTCAAACGGAAGGAGGCGATGGTGGGGCCCCGCCCCCTGTGCGGCCAGGCCATTGGCATGGAGATCAGGCGGAACATGGGGATGACAGGGTCCCCCACCCCGTGTGCAGCCTGCTCCATGCACGGCCAGGCCATCGGCAGGCAGCTCAGGCTGAAGGAGGGGATGGTAGGGGCCCCCGCCCCGTGTGCAGCCCGCTCTGTGTGCAGCCAGGCCATCGGCTCAGAGCTCAGGTGGAAAGCGGCAAAGGCGGGGTCCCCGCCCCGTGTGCAGCCCGCTCCATGTGCGGCCAGGCCATCGGCGCGGATGTCAGGCTAAACAAGGGGATGGCAGGGTCCCCGCCCCATGTGCAGCCCGCTCCGTGTATGGCCAGGCCATCCACGCGGAGCTCAGGTGGAAAGCGGCGAAGGCGGGGTCCCCGCCCCGTGTGCAGCCGGCTCCATGTGCAGCCAGGCCATCGGGGCCGAGCTCAGGCTGAACAAGGGGATGGCAGGGCCCCCGCCCCGTGTGCAGCCCGCTCTGTGTTCAGCCCTTCCTGAGTGCAGCCCCAGCCATCCGCAGGGCTCAGAGGGAACATGGCAATGGCGTTGGCCCCGCCCCCTGTGCGCCCAGGCCATGGGAGTTGGGCTCAGGAGGCTCCACCAGCAAAGCAGGACTGTGGATTGGGAATGGGCACAAGGCAGACCTCCTGGTCCTTCCCCTCAGCCAGCAGGCTCCTATCAATCTTCAGTTTCTACTGAAAGGAATGTGGCGCCTCCACTGCCTGAGTTGAGAGGTTCCACCAGAGCAATAACAGCTGGACCAGTGCAAGGATGGAGGGAGGGAGGGAGGGGAAGGAGCAAGGGGGAAGCCCTGGTTCCCTGCTCCTCCTCTCTCAGGCATGGCCCTTGCTGCTGTTACAATAAAAGGAGTTGTGTTTTTCTAACTTTGTCTGGGTAAAGGAAACAAGTGTCTGTTGACTTCTGATCTTACTCTCTGAGCTTCCAGTTAATCCCTCTGGATGCATCATATCCGACCTCCAAAGGATCCGAGGGGCAGGATCAACCTTCGTTCCACAGTTGAGGAAACTGACCAATAAACACATGTGTCTCATGCCTCAGTGTCAACTCCCACAGAAATCTCTGGGTAATGACTCAGATTCTATATCTAAGGATATACTTTATTCTGTTTTCATGTTTAATTCAGCCCCAGGAATCAAATAATACAATAAAGAATAAAATGTGTTCAGAGGGCTCAGCATTGTATTCCCAGGGCCTTTGGTCCCACACAAACCGAAAAGCTCAGTTATCCTGAGATGAAAGGAAAGGAAAGAGAAACGTGAAAGGTTTCCCAGCTCAGTCACAGAGACATCTCATAACCACATATTAAGGACACGGCATTAACTTAGGGCTGGAAAGGACACAAATGGAATAGAATATGGAGCCACTTGGAGTGAGCAGGCCAGCAGGGGGGCAGTTGGGGGCAAGCAGGCCAGCAGGGGCTGGGAGCAGTTAGGGGCAAGCAGGCCAGCACAGGGGGTAGTTGGGGTGAGCACACTGGTACAGGGGGCAGTTGGGGCTGATCAGGCTGGCGGGGGGGGGCATTTGGGGGCGAGTAGGCTGGCGGCAGGAGGAAGTTGGGGGCAAGCAGGCTGGCAGGCAGAGTGGTTAGGGGCAATCAGGCAGGCAGGCAGGTGAGTGGTTAGGAGCCAGCAGTCCCAGATTGTGAGAGGGATGTCCGAATGCCAGTTTAGGCTCGATCCCTGTAAACCAGCAGTAGGACATCCTTCCAGGGGTCCCAGATTGGAGAGGGTGCAGGCCGGGCTGAGGGACACTCCCCCCAGCCCCCGAGTGCACAAATTTTTGTGCACCGGGCCACTAGTATGACATAAAAGCTCAGGACACTGGTGCATTATGTTCAGGAAAGGAAGGCTGAATGGTGCTGAGGATATGCACGGTCTGGTTCAGCCCAAGAAGCTCAGTTCAAACCCAAGAAAGAAGTCGACCCTCTTTAGTCATGAGGTTCTTTGCAGTTTTGAACACTCTGGGAAAAGTGAACCATGCTCCATCTTAAAGGGGCAGGAAGTTCCTCACTCACTCTACATACCACGAGCACCTTCCTTCCTGTGCAAGGCACTTACTTGCCCTTTGGTGCTGCTGGAGGTACCAAGACAGAACAGACAGTTCCTGCCCTTGAGGAGCTTACAATCTAATAATGAACACTATGTACATATGTGCAATTGAGAAAAGCAGCCATTTTTCTGGATGGTGGGATATTCCAAGCAAAATGTGTTGTTATTCTTTTTTAAAATATATTTTTATTAATTTCAGAGAAGAAGGGAAAGGGAGAGAGAGAAATATCAAGGATGAGAGAGAATCATTGATTGGTTGCCTCCTGCACACCCCCTACTGGGAATCGAGCCTGCAACCTGGGCACATGCACTTGACCGGAATCGAACCCGGGACCCTTCAGTCCACAGGCCGACCCTCTATCCACTGAGCCAAACCAGCTAGTGCTGTTATTCTTAAAGTTATCATTTAAACACGAAGCCTTATCGCACTACCTAATGAGATGGCAAACATTTTTTTTAAATCTTCCTTTTATAACCTTAAGTTTTTAGATGCCTGTTCTTTTTATTTCAAAAAATGTAATATGTAAACATACAAAAATTCAAAGTGGAACACAAAGATGCACAGGCATTGGGTAAACAAACTACATATCAGTACACACAACACAGACTTATTTTCTATACCAGTGATGGCGAACCTTTTGAGCTCGGTGTGTCAGCATTTTGAAAAACCCTAACTTAACTCTGGTGCCGTGTCACATATAGAAATTTTTTGATATTTGCAACCATAGTGAAACAAAGACTTATATTTTTGATATTTTATATATTTAAATGCCATTTAACGAAGAAAAATCAACCAAAAAAATGAGTTCGTGTGTCACCTGACACGTGTGTCATAGGTTCGCCATCACTGTTCTATACAGTGTTATTTTTGTATAAACAAGTTTGATATTCCCTTTCCTTTATACATTAAAGTACAAATCTAAGTCAGTTTTGAAAAGACTTAACTGATTTTTATATTCTATCTAATACCAAAACCAAAACCAAATACCCTAAACCCTCTCAGTCTGTTAGCCAAGTGACAAACTGATGAAGTCTGAAATGCCTCAAGGCCACCACAGCCTCTTACATCCTCTAATGTGACTACTTTGCAGGATCTTCCTGTGAAAATAACAGGATTTCATGATGGCGAAGTAAGCAATTCTTTACCTTATAAATACATATAAGATTCAGAGTTCTGAAATGTAACTCTCTCAACCCACTTACAGTATTTCAACCAGACAGCCTACACCCCTGCTTTGTCGGCACGAGAGTTCCACCTGTCCCTTTTCAACTCCCCCCAAGCCTGGAATGAATGGACAGACACCGTGTTGGCAACCCCGTAGTACTGCTCTAACTAAACTCACTCCCTAGGACCTCAGGTGGGGTGGTAAGTCTCCCCACCAGAGTAAAGTTATAACTCAGAGAAAAGGCAAGCTACGAAAAGCAGAGCCACCCAAACTGGATAAAGACTGGGGGAGAAATATTCATACACCAAAAGGAGTAACTTACCTTTAAGCAATTTCCCTGTTAAATTTGTTAATTTCACACCAAGTTTTCAGAAACAGCCCTGTCTTAAAACAAACTATCTGCACGTGGGAGGCCACAGCCCATCGACCAGCTAACAGTCCTCACACTGATGGACTGCAGTGCCCTGGGAACAAGCTCACAATCTCCCGAACACTCGTCTGTTTCATCGGGTGCTGAGGCTACAGTACTTGAGATCACTGGAAGCAACTCTACATCTGTAAGTCTGACTTCACTAAAGAACAGTCAAATTTCACGTGCTTTATAATCAGTTTGAATAGCGGAGATCATGTTAGCAGATGTGAAGACCTTAACTCCAAAAGCCCCTTTTAGCTTCAAGAAAGAACAGGCAAAGTTTAAAACTCTGAGACTTGAAACATAGTCTAAAACCATGGTTAAAGCTGCCAATGGATACTTCCACTAAAAACTAAAATGAAAACCACGTGAGTGGGTTAGACCCTTGAGGGGAAGGTGACTCTGGACACACTGCATTGCTAATCCACCAATACACAGAAGGGCGGCTTAAGCGCTTCCAGATACATTCACAACGAATGACCAAGCCAGGCAGAGGCTCGAAGCTGCCCATGCTGGGCTAACTATAAAGAGATTCATTTGTCTTACTGTTTGTGCTGCCCAATCTCTTAACAAGAAAAAAGGGCAGAATGTATCTTTCCTTTAAAAAATTTAGGCTGCCTGGCCTGGCGGATGTGGCCCAGTTGGTTGAGTGTCATCCCATACACCAAAAGGTTGCTGGTTTGATTCCCAGTCAGAGCACATGCCCCAGTTGTGGGTTCGATCCCCAGAGGGGGTGTGTGAGAAAGGCAATGGATCATTCCTCTCTCTCTCTCCCTCTCTCTAAAAATGTAGGCCTCTGACTCTGAATATAACCCATTCAGTTTAACTTTAACCAGAATTTTTGCTTGTCAAGAATAATATTTGGGCCCTGGCCGGGTAACTCGGTTGGTGCACCATCCCTTACACCAAAACATTACACATTTGATTCCCTCCTGCTCTTCTTTTAATATTCTTATATACTCAATAAAACCAAATAGATTTCCAGTTAAAGAGACAAAAAATGCCCATAGTTTTTAGAAATGAATGGCTCAGCTTTACAGATCTAACATCTGAGGCACAGAAATGACTCTCTCAAGGTAATCTTTAAGGAAGTGGTCTACTTTGGAAAACAGCTCATCTCTCACGCATGAAAAAGATAAAAGACATTTTAAATCCCAAAGCGCCTCACAGCAAGCAGAGCAGCTCCTCCCTCTGCCTGGGGCTGAAGGCTCCAGGAGTTACCTGCAGAGTCCGTTTGCAGCATTGTGGTGACCTCTCTCGCACTCAGGTGATTGACTTCACTGCTGCTGTAGCGAACGGGGGTTTCCTCGTGCTCCACGGATTTGGCCGGGAGAAACTGCTTCATTCCTTTCCACCAACCTTCATTGTAGCGGTAAGCAAAAGAGACCATTAAAGAAAAAACTGTTTCTAAAATCGTAACAGTATATTAATAGAAATCCTGTTGTATTTAACATGTCTATAACAAATAAATGTCTATACAAACTAGCCTTTATGTTCAAGCGTCTTTTTTTTTATTGTGGTAAAATATAAAAAACATAAAATTTGTCACCTTCACCACTTTTAAGTATACAGCTCAGTGTTATTAAATACATTCACACTGTTGTGCAAACATTACCACCATCCATCTCTGTATCTTGTACAACTGGAACTCCATACCTATTAAACAGTAACTCCCTAAGTCTCCTCACTCTTGGATACTGGCAACCACCATTCTACTTCCCCTGTTGAGGATTTTAACTATTCTAAGTACCACACATGAGTGGAATCATACAGTATTTGTTTTTTTGTGTGTGACTGGCTTATTTCTCTTAGCATAAGGTCTTTAAGGTTCATCCATGTTGTAGCGTAATACAGAATTTCCTTTTTAAGGATGAATAATATTCCACTGCATGTATATATGTTACAGATCCATTCATCAGTCGATGTTTTTACATTTTAACTGTTGTGAATAACACTGCTAATGAATATGGGTGTAGAAATATTTCTTCAAGACCCTGCTTTTAATTATTTTGGGTATATACCCATAAGTGGAATTGCTGAATCATATGGTAATTCCATTGTTAATATTTTGAGGAACTACCATATTGTTTTCCACAGCAGCTGTAACATTTTAGCCAACAGTGCACAAGGGTTCCAATTTCTCCACCTCTTCACCAACACTTGTTTTTTTTGATAGGCACCTTCTTAATGGGTGTGAGGTGGTATCTTACTGTAGTTTTGATTTTCATTTCCCTATAGATTAGTGATGTTGAGCATCTTTCCATGTGTTTATTGGCCAACTGTAGATATTCTTTGGAAAAATGCACATTCAAGTCCTTTGCCCATTTTTGAATCAAGTTGTTTATACGTTGTGGAGTTTTACAAATATCCTACATATTCTAAATATTAATTCCTCATCAGATATATGATTTGCAAATGTTTTCTCCCATACTATGGGTTGCCTTTTTACTCTGTGGATAGTGCCTTTTGATGCACAAAATTTAAAATTTTTCATGAAGTTCAATTTGTCTAGTTTTTCTTTTATCTGGGCATTGTGTGTCATATCAAAGAAATCACTGCCAAATCCAATGTCATGAAGCTTTTGTCTTAGGTTTTCTTCTAATAAGAATTTTATTGTTTTAGGTCTTATGTTTTGGTCCTTGATCCATTTTGAGTTGACTTTAGTAAATGGTGTTAGGTTAGGGTGCAACTTCATTCTTTTGCATGTGGATATCCAGTTTTCCCAGCACCATTTGTTAAAAAGACTGTCTCCTTTCTCCAATGAATGGTTTGTACACCCTTGTCAAAATCATTTGTCCATATTTGTAAGGCCTTATTTCTGGGTTTTCTATTCTATTCCGTTGGTCTATTATGTCTCTCTTTATGCCTATACCACACTATTTTGACTGCCTTGTAATTAAGTTTTGGAATCAGAAAGTGTGAGTCTTCCAGTTTTGTTCTTTTCCAAGACCATTTTGTCTATTAGGTGTCCCTGAATTTTAGGATGGATTTTTCTATTTCTGCAAAAAATATCACTGAGATTTTGATGGAGATTCCTAATGAATCTGTAAATTGCTTTGGGTAGTACTAAATATTAACAATATTAAGTCTTTTAACCCCTGAACATAGGATGTTTCCGTTTCTTTTAAAATTTCTTTTAGCAATGTTTTCATTGTATAAGTCTTTTACTTTCTTGGTTAAGTTAATCCCAAAGTATTTTACTCTTTTTGATGCTATTATAAATGGAATTGTTTTTATAATTTCCTTTTCAGATTATTGATTATTCGTGTATAGAAGTGCAACTGATTTTTGTGTTGACTTTGTATCCTATCACTTTGCTGAATGCATTTATTAGTTCTAACAGCTTTTTCTGTGTGTGGAATCTTTAAGGTTTAACTCTTCTTCAAATGTTTGGTAGAATTTACCAATGAAGCCATCAGGTCCAGGACTTTTGTCTGTTGGGAAATTTTTTATTACTAACTCAATCCCTTTACTAGTTAAAGGTCTATTCAGATTTTCTATTTCTTCATGATTTAGTCTTAGTAAGTTTTATGTCTCTAAGAATTTATCCATTTCATCTAGGTTATTCAATTTTTTGGTGTACAATTGTTCATAGTATTAATAATCCTTTGTGTTTTCATAGAATTGATAATGTTCCCAGTTTCATTTCTGGTTTTTCAATCTTCTCTCCTTTTTTCTAAGTCCATCTAGCTAAAGGTTTGTAACTTTTGTTGATATTCTTAAAGAATCAACTTTTTATTTCATTGATTTTTCTCTATTGTCTTTCTATTCTCTATTTTCTTTATCTCTGCTCTAATCTTTATTTCCTTTCTTATGGTAGCTTTGGGTTTAGTTTGTTCTTCTTTTTCTAATTCCTTAAGTTTTTCAAGATTATTTTTTGCTTTGATAGGATATATAGTGTAAAGCAGAATATGGTAGGAATCTCTATCAAAAGCATATACAGAAGCAGAGCACTGGTCAAATATAGTTTGTCTGTGGTAGGGGTGGTTTAAAATGTTTTTTTTTTAAATACTTTCCAAGATCTACCCTAGCAGCACCTAATTAGCTCCCACCACTGCTCTTGTCTACCCTGGTCACAGTGGTGAACCCTTTTGGCTCCTAACAGCTGTTTTGGTAGTGAGACAGGGAAGTGGGGGACCCAGAGGGGACCCCTGGTGTAACTTGCAGCAATATGCCACCTACCATACAGAGTTGGAATTCAGAAGATGACAACTTATCACAGCAGACATGGCAGACTTCAGGATTCCTAAACTGCTGGACTCCACTTAAATACCCAGAGCAGAGTGACAAACACATACTTTTACTAGGACCAAACCCCTCTGCCTCTTACAGTGTTCACATAGGCCTCAAAGAAAGCTGGTCTCCTCCAGATGAAAGTTTTCCAGGAGAAAAATAATTCCTTTCCATTTCATTACTTATTGACTAGAAGAGATCTGACAGGAGAGTAAAAATGATCAGAAGGAATGCCAGCTTCCTAACAGTGCTGGGAAATTTCAGTGGGCCTGAAAACACTCCTTTCCCTGCTGCCATCTGGAGGGGAGGGACTTCCCGCTGACGGAAAAAGATGTAAAGTCATGAGTTACCTGCCCGGTCCCAGTAAGGTAAATCATAGGTGCCTTCAGTTTTTTTCTTTCTGGAAAAATACAGGAAAAGAAAGTGAGCAAATAGAATGATTTCACTAGTAAGACAGCTCTGAAACTGCAGGATAAACACCAAAGTTAATAATTAGTCAAGAGTACACATTCCCACTTGCTGATCTACCCAAGGGAGGCCTCTATTTCATTTGACTTTGTCGAGGCTCATAAATTCTGGATTCTCAATAAACATTAACTGCCTCCTGGGACAGTTATCTGGCTACTCAAATATTTCAAAATGAATATAGAAATAAAAAAAGTCCAGTCTGTAGATAAAAAGACTGAATTAAATCAAAGACCCAAACATGACATGTGGGTTTTTATGGGAAATCATGTCAGGTTTGATTTGGTTTTAAATACAAACTTCACGGAACAACAATAAAAAAAAATCTAACATTTTCTCCTGCATTGTTATATTTCCAATTTTCTCCGTTTCTTCTATGGTCCTTTGTCTCAGAGAAGTTCTAAGAGTCATATACCCTTCATTGTATAGACTGAATTCCCCCTACTGTCCTAGGATAAGTCAACTCTGGCACAAAGTGACAAATGGCTGAGGGAAGAAAAGGCTTCTCCAGGCCTGGGAGGTGAGAGCCACGGGTACAACAGAGACGACTCTGCCCAGTCCACCCTCAGAACGCTGACATATCCTCCCCAGGAGAAGTCTCTCATCCCTCAGCTAAGAATTACTATCTACCAGGAGCCTTTTACAAAGGACAGTTTCTGATTCAAGCATGTAAATCTAATTAATGTTATGCTTTGCAAGCTAGAGAGAAAGTAGACATGTTCTAGTGCATATAAGAGGACAAGGTGGTTATGTGATTGCTCAAGATCACAAATGGGGCTTTACCAAAGAGCCCAAGCTACATCGACATGCACTTCCTACTTGGAAACATTCTTCTCCAGTATTAGATTATATTTTTATTATTGATATTAAAAACTTCTCTATAATTAGTTATTTCTCCTTGAAAATCCTCTACCATAAGAATTCTAAATAAAAGGAAATCAATAACCTTTCCTAAATGAAAGTTAGAAACTCTGCACAGGTAGGACAATTAATTGAATGTTATAATTATTACCAAGGCTGTACTATAAGACTTTGTAGACTCTCAAGTGACAAAGCTTCAGGTTATTTATTCATTACATGTCAAGTGCTTAGAACAGTGCTTGGCACGGGTTAAGGTTTCAATAAATTGCAGCTGTTTTTATTATTCTCCTCCTCACTATTTTCCACAGCCCTTTAATAGCATCTCCGCCTTTACTCCTTGTCGTGAAGCTGGTCATCAGCAATTTCAATGACCACGCTTAGAAGTGACTTCAGTTCTGCAGCTCAGACCTTTGGTCCTGAACAGATGTGTATTCCATCTGCCTCTTGGGAGTCTGAATGTCCACAGGATTCTTTAAACACCATCCCAAACTGATTCAAGACTTGCTTCCTCTCAACGATTCTACTCTTCCATCCTCACTCCCTCAGAGCTGTGCTCTGACCACAGAGGATTATACTTTATTGATGGTACGTTCAGAGGCCGCAGTGTTTAGGAGCATGGGCTCTGCAGCCAGGTCCAAAACTCCGCTCTGCCATGTGCCGGCCAGGTGAACCTGGGCAAGTTATTTATGCTCCCTTCTCACTTTCTTCTTCTGTAAAATGGGATTTATAACAGTACCCTTTTGATAGGATGTTTTAAGGCTTGGTTAAAAAATGTAAAGCATTTAGAGCAGTGGTTCTCAACCTTGGCTGCACATTAGAATCACCTGGGAATCTTTTTAAAATCCTGATTTCTGGGCCTCATCCTCTGGAAATTCTGTTTCTTTGTTACTAATGTTGTGGCCCCACCCCATAACAAAGAAACAGAATTTCCAGAGGATGAGGCCCAGAAATCAAATGCTTAAAATAATTTTCTATAAAATTAGCTGTTGCTGCTATTCTCATCATTACTACTGTTGCTGTCCAGTTCCCTGAAAGCAACATGAATTTCCTTTCCTATATGTCCCTAAAGTCCTTTTCCCTCCTCCTTTCCCTACTGCTCTCATACTAACTTACTGGGTCTCTGCTCAGACAACCTCCCCAACACCATGAATCTGGGATCCACTGGGATCCATGTTGGTACCATAGCCGCAAGTTTTCTGCACTGTATCCTCTCCCATTGTGTAAACTTTGGCGTTCATCACTGACCTCCTACCACAAGGCTCAATACTTGGCACAGGGTAGAAACTCAAACATTGACTGACGGAACAAAAGAAGTCACTCCCTTGCTCCACCAAACCTGCCCTCCTGCTATTACCTCATCTCATGGAATCCCTACTGATCTAATTACACGAGCCAGAAACTTCAGATCATCCTAGATCCCTCCTACTTCCTCACCATGACAGCCAGTCATGCATCCCATCAATGCCACTGGGACATCTCTCCCTCTCATGTCTCTTTTTTCTAAAATTGCTATGTTCCCGCCAGGCCTCAGCAATTTCCTACTTCATCTTTCTGCCTCTTCTAGGCTCTCCCCTTCAATCCACTCTGCAAAACAACTGCCACTACCTTTGTCTAATCATCTGCTTAATACACTCCAATGATTTCCCCATCTAGAGAATGCAATCCAGATTTCTCTCTCGCTGATCCTGGTCCAGGCTGCACTTCTAGGTTCTTTCTCAGTTCTCGCCCAGGCCAACCCGAGCGATGACTCGCTATGCTGCCCACATCCCACATCTTCGTGCCCTTGCTAAAGCAGTTCTCTCAGTCTGGGCATTCTCTATCTTCCACAATCTAGCCAAATCCAAGTCTTTCTTTTCACTAAAACATGCTAATCTTAAGAATTTCAGAAAACTCTCATGGTCCTTGCATTTGTGTCCTCCGGCACTTCATAAGTAACTCATCAAACTTCATTATAGTTCCTCATTTTGTGCCAGTCAATCCTTGCTAACACCTTGGAGATAGTAATTATGTTTCATTCTTTCAGTAAATATTACTAAGCACCTACTATGTGTTAGACATTTTTCTTATTAATCTGTATATTCCAGTGTGCATTGCAAAACTTGATACAATAAGGGTACTCAGTAACTGACTGTAACTGAACATACTCATTTTTTATGGGAATATAGAAGAAACATGTATTTTTATTTTAATGACTGTCTTAACTCTCTCTCTCTAAAAGATAAATTATAGTTCATCTTCTGTATTTAGTTTCTATTTCTCATTTGAAAACACCCCCTTCTAGGACCAATTAGGTGAACAGCTTATATACTGACCTGTTTCTCCAATGCCAAGTACACACTAATATGAGAATGAGAGTGGTGAGGACCATGACCAGCACAGGGACAAGCACTGCGGCCAAGGCTACATCTGAAATAGGCCAAAAGCAGAAATTATGACTGGCAACAGTGAGAACGAACCATATCAGCATTCAAAGGTTTCTATCTCAAGAAATACTATAAACATTATTTATGAAATGAGACTAGGCTTGAGTAGGTAACCTCAGGAGCTTTCATGGATGCGTGAAAATTTATCACATTATTTGATCCACCTTTATATTATGTTTTAAAAATTTCATAGTCACTTGATTTTTATAGAGATAGGAAGGGAGAGGGAGAAAGAAAAATCTGGATGTGAGAGCAGAACATCGATCAGCTGCCTGCCCCTACTGGGAACTGAGCCTGCAATCTGGGCATGTGCCCTGACAGGGAATCAAACCTTCACCCTCTTGGTTCATGGGTCAATGCTCAACCACTGAGCCACTCTGGCCAGGCCATAGTAACTTCTTAAATCACCAAGACAATGATTGAAAGACAAATGATAAAATGAGACAATATGTTCTGCATGCGATAAAGGGTTACTATAATTAAGATGTGACAGGATATACAAGTCAAAATCAAAGAACAGAAAAGTTGGCGGGGATGAATGAACAATACATTTAAAAGAACAAGTGACCATTCATGTTAGTCTCACTAGTAATCAGAGAAATGGAAGTTAAAACAAGAATAAGATCATATTTCTGCTTATCAAATTGGCAATTACTTAAAAATAACTTATTGTTGAAGAGAATATTGGGAAAAAGTTATTTTTATGGGAATATAAAATAATACTTTCTGTATCATTTTGGGGCAATATGTCTAAACAATGATTACTTAGCAATTCCACATCTAGAATTTATTCTTAGGAAAAAATAAAGATGACATTCAAGGATGTGTCTTTAAAGAAGTTTGTTTCTGGAAATAATCCAAATACCCAACAATGAAAAGGAGTAAGTACATCCTTACAGGAAAATATTCCCAACAAATGGAAATGTTGCAGCACCAGGGCACAATATTTATAGATACAGAAAGGTGACAATGTTGAGTTAAGTATAGAAACCCAATGTGTGTATCAACAGGGCAGGAACTGACACAGTACTGGATCCTACAGGAGGAGAAGCTCATTTAATCCCCTTATCTCACTTCACAGATAAAGAATCCTGGGCCCAGATCCAGAAAATGGGCTGCCTAAAGTAATTTGCAACATTAGTTTCTTCCTTCATCTGTCAACCCCTCCTGGCCATGAGGATGGCACAGCTGCTGATGTCCACAGGGGGCTGAGTGTCAGACACTGTGCCACGCCTTATGCATTTATAATTGTATCCAAGACAGAAAGAGGCTGACGATAACAGGACAGGGAGAGGATGATCAATAACAGGGGGCCTCTGAGAAGCTGGATGGATGGGGCTAGGGCAGCCGTGGGCAAACTACGGCCCGCCGGATCCGGCCCGTTTGAAATGAATAAAACTAAAAAAAAAAAAAAAGACCGTACCCTTTTATGTAATGATGTTTACTTTGAATTTATATTAATTCACACAAACACTCCATCCATGCTTTTGTTCCGGCCCTCCGGTCCAGTTTAAGAACCCATTGTGGCCCTCGAGTCAAAAAGTTTGCCCACCCCTGGTCTATACATCACTGTCCCAGAGAAAAGGAGACAAGAGCTCTTCAATTTAAAAAACCTGCACATTCTTCGTTATTCTTTTTAATCTTACAGGGATCCTAGTTCTGGAAGATAATGCTTTAAGGACACTTTAAGTTTGAGATTTTAAGGTTCTATAATCAGATTTTGAACAATAAAAATGACTGTTCCTCCCTCCAGGAAGTGGCCTGAGATTCTTGCATGCCTTCTGCAAGCTGTAAGAAGCACTCTGTGGATGCTAAGATCTCTTGACTCTGAGAATTCTTGCTTCCCTCTAGATTTTCCTGTGGCATGAGAAAGAAATCAGTCTGTTTGGAAGATAGGAAAGAAACTGACACTTGGAAAGTTGGAGAAAGTTATATGAATCCAGACAAATTTTCAGAAAATGAGAATGATTCAAGTTCTATATGGCACAAGTTACTCTGGATGAATTGCTTTCTCTTCTCTGTTGCTGTCTTGAAAATAGTGTGCTTTATTTGTCTGCCAACACTGAAACTAATTCCTCTAGAACACCGAGGCTTTGTTTTCTGCATTCAACTGAAATTTTGTTTCTTGACAACCTATAAAATAAAAGAGCTACTATGCTTTGTATATGTTAATACCTTACTTATCATTAATAAAATCTGAAAGTAAATTCTACTAATACATCTATATTTATAATCTGAAAAATTATAATAGCAAACATTTTAAGAACAGAGACCACTTTTTTATGAATGTTAAATAAGAGTATTTTTAAAAAGTATTACCCTAACCCTAACCAAAAGTTTCACCAAAACTTGTTTTTTAATCTTCCCCCCCCCTTTTTTTTTGCCACAAAGTTCCCTATCCAGCAAATCTAATAATAGCATAATATGCCCCTGGCAAAGGGCAAATAGCAATATTAAAACACATTGTTTGCGGGTAGTAACAGGTGGCTCTACTACTTACAGTCAACGTAAAACGTATAAATATGTTTCCCGCATACAATGTGTTAAAATATTGCCTCTAATTAATTCCCTTTTAATGTGCACGAATTTTGTGCACCGGGACACTAGTTGATATATAATAAAGAAAAAAAGGTTTTCTGCTAGGCTTTTAGTTATTTTTGGAAATATTTCTAGGCACGAGACTCCATGTGTTTTGCTGTATAGGAACAAAAATTGCAAGAGGAGGCCTAGAATACAGCAGCCATCTGTAAATATTTAAAGACAATTCTACATGGCTCGAGAGAATAAAACTTTGAGCAAAGCAGTCAGTTTTTTCCCCCAAGGAAGGGAATCAATCTTTTTGCTATACTTAAAAAACACAAGTCTGAGGAAAAGATTTAAAAGCTAGAAATGTTCTTGAAAACTTAAGTTGAAAACAGTAAAACATGACTACATAACAGGTGTGAATGTTGGGTTCACCCACCTTTGGTGACATCTGGAGTTACGGTAGTGTTTTTTATATCAGGAGTGGCAGTTGTTTGTTCTGTCTGTGCAGGAAATTCATTGCGACTGCGAGGTTGTAGTGGTTGAGTAAATTTGGGGCCACGACCTTTAAAAAAAGATTTAAAAACTTTATTCTTTTATCTACATCAACTTGATTAAAATTGTTACTCTAGAATGCTTTTTAACATATTTATGGAAAATTATATGATAAACCCAGGGAATATGAACATTTCACGTTCAAATGAGGCATACCTTTGGCTATTTTTGGAGGGGCTGTAGTGTTTTTGAGGTCATTGCTGTTCCGAGGAGATGGAGGTTGAGTAAGTTTTGGAGGACGACCTTAAAAAATGGTTTAGAAAAGTTTACATGCTTTGCTTATAAAAACCATAGTTAAAAATAGTAATTTAAATGTCTTTACCATTTCCTAGAATACTTAATACTGCACAGTAATTTTAAATCTCAGAGAAATATGTCAGAAGGATAAATATATTCTGTGTTAAAAGCCCATATATACTGGGATTTCTCAGTTTTTAAATAAACTGTCTGAGAGTAATCTTCTTAAGAAGGAAAATAATGGGGAGGCAAATAATGTTGAACTCTAAAGCTATAAAAATTTAATTGCATTTTGATAGACTACCCAACAATTCATTTGAGAAATATTTATGGAGGGCCCCCTATGTGTTAGGCACAGTGGTAGTTCTTAGAGCTACAATAGTAAACAAAGTATTAAAACATTATATAATATTGAAGGAAGTTACTCCCATTTTTAATTTATTCAAAGTAAAAGTCACTTAGACTGAAGTTACTATTATAATCAATCATTAGTGTTTATGTGATATGAATATTATATTACACGAGACCTGATTAAAAATTAAGATTGAGAAAAAAAAATTAAGATTGAGGATAGATTTGGAAAGCAATCTCATTATATCATCTCATAAATGATGCCCTCTATCCAACTTGTAATTTTGAAAATAACTTTGATGTCTAACTTTTTAAGATGATAACTGTTTCTTTTTAAAAATTCCTTTAAGAAGATAATATAATTTAGAGGTTAAACACATTGTTATTAACTACCTTCTCTGAGAACAGCAGTTAATTAGCATTTTTAATTAATCCAGTGAAAATACCATGTCTGAAATATACTGTGGCTTTACCTTTAAGAATAAACTGGCATCCCAGCAGCTCCACTTTCATGGCAATTTTCTGCTGCCATTGGGTAGGATTCACTCTAATAAAACGTGCAATAATTGGTGGCAAAAAGTTATTACGCACATCCTGGTGATAATCTTTGTTTCCTTGAAATATCTTTAAAAAACAACAAAAAATTGGTACTTTACATCAAAAGAGGCCAGGGCTAAATTGCTCCACTGAAACATGTTTTTGTTTTGGGCCTTAAATGAGATCTGCAAAGTATGACAATAAGAATTAATTTTTAAGAAAATAAATGAATCACAATTTTGAAAACTATTAAGATGTTGCACATTCTTTCTTTTAAAAAAAAATAATTTAATTTTTCCCATCACCATTTACCCCCTCTGTGCCCTCTTCCACCTTCTCCCATCCCCCCCTACCCAATCACCACACTGTTGTTCATGTCAATGAGCTCTCTCTCTTTTTTGCTCGATTTCCCTCCACCCCCCTCCATACTCCTCGGAACTGTCTGCCTGCTCTCTATCTAGAGTCTGTCTCTATTTTAAGAAGCTGCACATTTTTCATCAAAAATTTATAAAAAAAACCCACTATGAAATATAAAAATGATTTTAAGATGATGCAAACATAACAAGAATGCTAACTTGGCAATCTGAGACGAGAGCTTCAACTGTAATAATATGGTATATTGTTATTAATAAATTAGTAACTCCAGTCCTATGGAATTACCAACCATTCCGTATTTGTTTAAATATGTTGACTTTATTTTCAAAATAAAGCCTAACTGAACATATGAGATCTTAGAGGAAATGCTTTACTGTGAACTTTTCATAATTTTTCTCCCAATAAATAGACTGAAAGTGAGCATATACTAACACAACAGATATATACCTCCACCTAGTGGATAAACTACATAAACACAGTTCCTATATTCTGTTTTCTTGTTGCTCTTTGAGCCAGAAAAGTGACAGTTACTTGCCTAATTTAACGATCATCACCAAATTTAACGATATGCATTATATACCCCTTAGGTAAAAATATGATTTTAAAGTAATATCTCATTCCGTCAACTATTCAAGCAAATGACAGTACCTTACACTGGAAAAGCTCTTAATTACAAAGCATTTCATAGGATTAACTCAGTTGCTCTTCATGACAACCCTGTGATCAGACAGAACCCAGGAAACTGAAGCTCAGAATGGGATCCCACGGCCAGTCAGTGATAGAGCAGTGACTTGAATCTGCGTCTTCTGATTTATGCTCAGGGCTCTACTAAGCAAAAAAGAGCCCTCCTGTTCCTTCAGGCCAAATCATCTATAGTTAGTTTCTAAAGACCATCAATAAGTGAGCACCTGCCTAAAATCAAAGTGGTTTGTTTTTACTAGTTAAGGTAAGAACAAGTAAATGTTTACTTCCTCAATCAAGCCATTTCCAAATATTATAGCTATTTTTTTCCTGGCTGATTCACATGGCATTAGATTGCAAATTTCTAGGATGTATTAATATCCTTCATTTTCTAAGAGGTTTCTTTTTAAATTACAATAATCCCCACACTAGTAAGCTTCCATTATTTCCTCAAATATACTTTGAAATAAAATAAAGGCAATATTATTTACAGTTTATTGAATTAGTGGAACAAACAATAAATAAACATAAAAACTATATCCCTGAGATTTTACTCCATACTGCAGTCTCACTTTAAAAAAAAAATTTAAAGGAAATAGATTTTATAAAAACGAAGTAAGCCCTAGCTGGTTTGGCACAGTGGATAACAGTGGATAGAGTGTCGGCCAGCGGACCAAGGGGTCCCGGGTTCGATTCCAGTTAAGGACATGTACCTCGGTTGCAGGGTCCTCCTGGCCTATGCCCTGGTCAGGGCTTGTGAAGTAAAATAGATTTGCTATATTTTGGTCAGCATGGCTCAGTGGTTGAGCACTGACCTATGAACTAGGAGGTCATGGTTCAATTCCTGGTCAGGCCACATGCCTGGGTTGGGGGCTTGGTCCCAGGTGGGCGGCATGCAGGAGGTAGCTGATCAATGACTCTCTCTCATCATTGATATTTCTCTCTCTCTACCTCTCTCTTCTTCTCTGAAATCAATTTTTTTAAAAAGATTTACTATAGTTAACCTATGAACATCTATTATAAATTCCTATGTAGAGGGAGGTTTGCAAGGTGTCATGAGGCAAAAATGAAAATGGAAGTCAAAGTTTCCATTCTCAGGAAGCTTAAATTTATTGGTTGTTAGCACACACAAATATGGCATACTATTAAAAGCAACATATTATAAAAACAAGTTGTACACACATTCCCATTTCAAAACTCTCTCAATCTGCATGTATGTGCTCATGCACATCTGCATGCTTTGAAAGGGTGTGAAGATGAATACACCAATTATCCTTGAATTGGGGGCAGGTGAGGGAGCTGATGGGCTAACATAAGTGAGGTAAAAGACTTATTTCGTACAGTTCCATGCCAGGACTTCCATTTCTATCCATGATTGGATTTAACCTTTTGCTTTACATTTCTGAGAAATCAAATAAAATATATGAAATCAAATAAAAATGGTTTTCAGACACTGGACAACAGGCAGCATAGGGCGATAATCCCTAAGAAAAGGGAAACAATGAGGTGAGCCCTTCTCCTGTCCCAATATTGCTTAGAGAGAGCCTGGTGTTTCACTGAATCAAGGAGACAGAGCTCAGAGATGAGAGGCCAAGGCAGCCAGAATTTGTAGGGTACAGTATAGGAGGGAAGAAGACTGCAGAAAGACTTCTAAGATCTCTGGGAGGTTCCCCTTAAATCTTCAGCTGTATATGAAGAAACTGTCTGAGGACAGGTGAAAAACCACCAGAAAGGAGCCAGGAGAACAATTCCGAGAGCCACAGAGAACTGGGAACAGCTCACACTGCCAACAGCCAGAGTGAAGAAACACATGGGATGTTGGATTGAATATTTAGAACGCTATTTCCTCAGTAGTAGGGAAAAATTAGAAAAGGCTGCTCAAGTCCTACGTAATAAAGCAAAAATGCAAGCTTTGAAAAGATAAAGATTTTCAAGTAATCTGTGTCCCAGAATGAAGTTTAAACAAAATTAAAGGAATAATACAAAATGAAATCTAGCACCAAACAATGAAGTTTACAATTTCTACAATGTAAATATAGTTTACCAGTCAAAATTTATCAGACATGTAAAATATGACCCATAATATCAATCAACATAAAAAGATCTAGGACATATTAGTAGATAGAATTAGTAGGCAAGGACATTGAGTTATTATATACTCCACATATTTCAGAGGTAATGGAGAAAGCATGAGCATGTTAGTGAAAGACATGGAAGAAAATTTAAAGCCCCCACCTGAAAATCTAGAGGTGAAAATACAATATTGAAGATAAACACACAGGACAGGATTAATAGCAGATCAGACATTCTAGACTAGATTACTAAATTTGAACACAAAACAGTAGAAATTTTTAAAGCTAGAACACAAAAGATGAAAACAATGAATAGCATCAGTAAACTGAAAGACATCTTCAGAAGTCATAATATTCATGTAATTAGAACTGAAGAGGAGACATATTTGGGTAAAAAAAAAAGCCTACAATTTTCCAAATCTGATGCAAATTATAACCCACAGATCCAAGAAGCTCAAAGCCCAAGAAGAAGAAACAATAAGACAACTACATAAAGCACATCATAATCAAGTAACTTGAAACAAATGATAAAAAGAAAATCTTAAAAGTAGACAAGGGGAAAAAAAAGACACATTACATATTGAGCAACAATGATTAAGAAAGTAGCAGAATTCTCACTCAAATAATGCAAACCAGAAAACAATGTAAGCATAATTAAACTATTGAAACCAAAAACTGTCAACCTAGAATTCTCAACTCAGTGAAATTATCTTTCAAAATGAAATTTAAAAAATCTTTTTCAGAAATATAATTCAATGTTCTTAGATGTTTTTATAATATAAATATGGACAATTTTTACAATTTCAAAAAATTCACTATACCTCATAAATATAAATATTATACAAATAAATGTGGATGTGCTAAGAATAAAAGGTAGTCAAGTTTGGGGGCATTAGAAGATAGAAATGGAGACAATATTGTTATTTGCTTCAATGGGCTGAGGCTCACCAAATATGAAGTTCATGTGATACCAAGTAGGAGAGAGGAAAGAAGGCCTTGAATAACAGCAGAAGAGTTTAGATCCATATGAAAGACTATAGGAAGCCCCTGCAGTTTTTGAACAGATGAGAAAAGTGGTAAATGAAGATATATTAATATCTCTCTATATAAAAGCCTAAATGACCATTAAGACCAGTAGCTATGATGTGCACTGACCACCAGGGGGCAGACGCTCAACACAGGAGCTGCCTCCTGGTGGTCAGTGCACTCCCACAGCCAACCTCCCACGGCCAGCCAACCTCCCCCGGTGCCTCCCGGTCCCGC